GTGGTGCATCACAGCAGGAGGGTGGTGCATCACAGCAGGAGGGTGGTGCATCACAGAAGAAGGGTGGTGCGTCACACCATCACGTCACAGATGGGCGTCCGTCGTTGGTAGTCACACCGAGACCCTCGCACGGCGGATGTAGCGGAAGCTAGCCCACATTCAGCCCAGATTCAGCCCAGCCCAGATTTGGCAGCACAAATGTAGGAAATTCCCTTTACGGGCCAGTATCTCCCATAGGATAAGGAAATCATGGACAGGCGAAATGTCACCTGAAAGCTCTCTTTCGGCCAAAGACAACAGAGCACATAAAAATCACCTTCCTTGTCAAGGGGGAAAGCTATAGACGATTCGAAAAGTCATGTCTACGGGGCGGCCCCTACGATTTTCTTCAAAATTGCGTCATTGAACCATCGACAGATACGTATCAATCCGGCTGAAGAAACCCTATGGGGCATTGATATTCAGGGGGTCAAAAACCCTTAGTAAACAGATATAACGGAGTTTTGCACTTACTTAACGGCAAACATAGGCCGAGTTGCATGTCAAATGAAAGCACGTGGCATCCCAAATGCAGACGTGCAAACCCCAAACCCCTATCTTGTCTAGGGGGAAAGTTATAGACAATATCAGAAATCATGCTACAGGGCTCCCCTACGATTTTTTTCAAAATTGTGTCATCGAACCATCGACAGATACATAGCAATCCGGCTGAAGAAACCCTACGGGGCATTAATATTCAGGGGGTCAAAAACCCTCAGGAAACATATATAATTGAGTTTCGCACTTACTTAACGGCAAACATAGGCCGAGTCGCATATCAAATGAACACACGCGAGAACCCAAATGCAAACGTGGAATCAAGATTTGGGCATCTGGTCTAGAGGGAAAGTTATGGACGATCGAAAAAATTATGTCTATGAGGCGGCCCCTACGACTTTCTTCAAAGTTGCGTCATCGAACCATCGACAGATCCGATCCATTGACAGAACTATCAATCCGGCTGAGGAAACCCTATGGGGGGCATTGATATTCAGGGGGTCAAAAACCCTTAGGAAACATCTATAACGGGGTTTTGCACTTACTTAACGGCAAACATAGGCCGAGTTGCATGTCAAATGAAAGCACGTGGCATTCCAAATGCAGACGTTCAAACCCAAAACCCCTATCTTGTCTAGGGGAAAAGTTATAGACAATCGAAAAAATTATGTCTATGGGGCAGCCCCTACGATTTTCTTCGAAGTTGTGTCATCGAGCCATCGACAGATACGTATCAACCGGCTGAAGAAGCCCTATAGGGCATTGATATTCAGGGGGTCAAAAACCCTTAAGAAACATCTATAACGGGGTTTTGCACTTACTTAACGGCAAACATAGGCCGAGTTGCATGTCAAATGAAAGCACGTGACAACCCAAATACATACGTGCAAACCAAAAACGGCTGGCTTGTCTAGGGGGAAAGTTATAGACGATCAAAACAATTATGTCTATGGGGCGGCCCGTACAGTTTTCTTCAAAACTGAGTCATCGAAACATCGACAGATACGCATCAATCCGGCTGAGGAAACCCTACGGGCATTGATATTTATGGGGTCAAAAACCCTTAGGAAACATATACAACGGAATTTTGTCTTTAGCAAAAGGTAAATATGGGTCTAGTTGCCTATCAAATGAAGGCACGTGACAACCCAAATACATACGTGCAAGCCAAAAACGGCTGTCTTGTCTAGGGGGAATGTTATAGACGATCAAAACAATCATGTCTATGGGGCGGCCCCTACGATTTTCTTCAAAACTGAGTCATCGAACCATCGACAGATACGCATCAATTCGGCTGAAGAAACCCCATGGGGCATTGATATTTAAGGAGTCAAAAACCCTTGGGAAACTTATACAACGGAATTTTGCCTTTAGCTAAAGGCATATATAGGTCAAGTTGCATATCAAATGAAGGCACGTGGCAACCCAAATACATACGTGCAAACCAAAAACCGCTATCTTGTCTAGGGAAAAAGTTATGGACGATCAAAAAAGTCATGTCTATGGGGCGGCCCCTATGATTTTCTTTAAAATTACGTCATCGAACCATCGACAGATACGTATCAATTCGGCTGAAGAAACCACATGGGGCATTGATATTTAGGGAGTCAAAAACCCTTAGGAAACTTATACAACGGGGTTTTGCACTTTCTTAACGGCAAACATAGGCTGAGTCGCATATCAAATGAAAGCACGTGAGAACCTAAATGAAAACGTGGAATCGAAATCCGTGTCTTGTCTAGGGGGAAAGTTATAGACGATCAAAAAAATTATGTCTATGGGGCGGCCCGTACAGTTTTCTTCAAAATTGCGTCATCGAACCATCGACAGATACGTATCAATCCGGCTGAAGAAACCCTATGGGGCATCAATATTCAGGAGTGTCAAAAAACCCTAGGAAACATAAATAACGGGGTTTTGCATTTACTTAACGGCAAACTATGCCGAGTCGTGGATCAAATGAAAGCACGTGAGAACCCAAATGGAAACGTGGAATCGAAATCCGCGTATCTTTTGTAGGGAGAAAGTTATAGACGAACGAAAAAATCATGTCTATGGGGCGGCCCCCAAATTTTCTTCAAAATTGCGTCATCGAACCATCGACAGATACGTATCAATTCGGCTGAAGAAACCCTAGGGGGCATTAATATTCATGGGGTCAAAAACCTTTGCGAAACTTATGCAACGGAATATTGCCTTTAACTAAAGGCAAATATAGGTCAAGTTGCACATCAAATGAAAGCACGTGGCGACCCAAATACATACGTGCAAACCAAAAACCGCTATCTTGTCCAGGGTAAAGTTACAGATGAGCGAATAAAATCATATTTATGAACTGGGATTGAACTGGGATATGAACTGGGATAGAATTTTGGAAATTTGCCTTCAAACTTGGAATTTTGCCTTTAGCCATTAGCTAAAGGCAAAATTCCGCTGTATAAGTTTCCTAAAGGTCTTTGACCCCCTTAACATCAAGGCCCCGTAGGGTTACTTCAGCCGGATTGATACGTATCTGTCGATGGTTCGGCGACGCAATTTTGAGAAGATCGAAAGGGCCCCCCATAGATATGACTTTTTGGATCGTCTTTAACTTTCCCCCTAGACAAGATAGGGGCTTCGGGTTTGCACGTCTGCATTTAAGATAACATATGCATTCATTTGATATGCGACTCGGCCTATGTTTGCAGTTAAGTAAGTGCAAAACCCCGGTATCTGTTCCCTAAAGGTTTTTGACCACACTGAATATAAATGCCCCATAGGGTTTCCTCAGCCGGATTGATAAGTAGCTGTCCATGGTTCGATGACGCAATGTTGAAGAAAATCGTAGGGGCCGCCTCATAGACCTGATTTTTTATTGTACTATCACTATCCTCCTAGATAAGATAGCGGCTTTTGGTTTGCACGTCTGTATTTGGGTTGTCACGTGCTTTTATTCGATATGCAACTTGACCTATATTTGCCGGTAGCTAAAGGCAAAATGCCGTTGTATAAGTGTCCTAATGGTTTTTGCCCCCAAATATCAATGCCTCATGGGGTTTCTTCAGCCCGCTTGTTAAGTATCTGGCGATTGGTCGATGACGCATTTTTGAAGAAAATCGTAGGGGCCGCCCCATAGACATGATTTTTTCGATCGTCTATAACATTCCACCTAGGCAAGATACGCGGATCTCGATTCCACGTTTCCATTTGGGTTCTCGCGTGTGTTCATTTGATATGCGACTCGGCCTATGTTTGCCGTTAAGTAAGTGCAAAACTCCGTTATATATGTTTCCTAAGGGTTTTTGTCCCCCTGAATATTAATGCCCCGTAGGGTTTCTTCAGCCGGATTGATACGTATCTGTCGATGGTTCGATGACACAATTTTGAAGAAAAATCGTAGGGGCCACCCCATAGACATGATTTTTTTGATTGTCTATAACATCCCCCCAAGACAAGATAGGGGTTTTGGGTTTGCAACGTCTGCATTTGGGATGCCACGTGCTTTCAGCTGACATGCAACTCGGCCTATGTTTGCCGTTAAGTAAGTGCAAAACCCCGTTATAGGTGTTTCCTAAGGGTTTTTGAACCCCTGAAATACGATCCCTCATAGGGTTTCTTCAGCCGATTGATAGGTAGCTGTCAATGGTTCGATGACGCATTTTGAAGAATAATCGTGGGGGCCGGCTCATAGGCATAATTTTTTCGATCGTCTATAACTTTCCCCCTAGACCAGATACGCAAATCTCGATTCCACTTTTGCATTTGGGTTCTCGCGTGTTTTCATTTGATATGCGACTCGGCTATGTTTGCCGTAAGTACGTGCAAAACTCCGTTATATCTGTTTCCTAAGGGTTTTTGACTCCTGAATATGAATGTTCCGTAGGGTTTCTTCAGCCGGATTGATGCGTATCTGTCGATGTTCGATGACCACAGTTTTGAAGAAAATCGTAGAGACCGCCCATAGACATTATTTTTTCGATTGTCTATAACTTTCCCCCCTAGACAAGATAGTGGTTTTGGGTTTGCACGTCTGCATTTGGGAGCCACGTGCTTTCATTTGACATGCAACTCAGCCTATGTTTGCCGTTAAGTAAGTGCAAAACCCCGTTATAGATGTTTCCTAAGGGTTTTGACCCACTGAATATCAATGCCCCGTAGGGTTTCTTCAGCCGGATTGATACGTATCTGTCGAGTGGTTCGATGACGCAACTTTGAAGAAAAATCGTAGGGCCGCCTCATGGAAATAATTTTTTGATCGTCTATAACTTTCCCCCTAGACACGGTAGGTGATTTTTCTGTGCACTGTTGTCTTTGGCCGAAAGAGAGCTTTCAGGTGACATATCGCCAGTCCGTGATTTCCTTATCCTACGAGAGATATTGGCCCGTAAAGGGAATTCCCTACATTTTGCAGCCAAATCTGGGCTGGGCTGAATCTGGGCTGAATGTGGGATAACTTCCGCCACATGCTCGGCGGCGGCGCTCACCGTAGCTGGAGCCGCTGTAGCCGGTTCCAGTCATGTCATAGCCGCCTGAGTCCCGCTCGATGTCCTGGGGAAGAGCTCGCACCGTTCACCACCAGCAGAAGAGCCGCCACAAAACGCTGCATGACGTCGGCGGCAATAGGTCCGACACAGCTCAGACCCGCACCAACTTCCAACTGCACAAAGCCGGTGGACAGCTCGCTTTATAACACCACCATTCACTGCCACCGACAGGGAGATGTCAGACACCACAGGACGGCAGCTGGAGCGAAAAGGCGGCGGGTATGCGAATCTGACCGGTTTTCACAACTTGGCTGGAATGACTGGTCCGCGGTCGAGCATTGGGGGCTGGGCACTGGGAGAGCCATCATAAAGATGCATTTGAGGCGGTTGTTCCCGCGCTGTGGGTGACTCAGAAGCCGGAATAAAGATGAAGAGGTGGACCTCGACCGCCACAACGGCACCGAGGCTCGACGCTCGCCCCCAATGTCTCGAGCGGGAGCAGTGAGACCGACCCCAGCACACTTTGGAAAGTTGGCAAGCACTGGCAGATTTGGCGATGTCCTTGTTTTGCACGACGAGGTCTGTTTGTGAGGTTTTGTGTAACCTCGAATGCCTTTACTATCGTACATTTACGCCACAATGTTGAGTAGTGGCGCGGGAATTCTGTCCGAATTTGCCGGACTTTGGAGAAAAATTAACGTTTGCACTCAGCCCTCTCCTTACAGAAAAATTGGCTATGTGCCCGCTCGGACCTGACGCCATGATATTCTGCGATGTGATGTGATTCATGCCCACTGGTATGAGTTTCAGAAGCGCCTAGCTGAACGCACTGATGTTTTTCCACTATTTCCTTGACAACAGCAACCATCTCTACCATGGCTTTGTGCATGATACTTCTGGAAGCTTAGCAGTGGACAGGGCTAGCTGAATTTTAGAAAGAAGGAGGTTGAAATGGACATGAGCGCCGTCATGCAGCTTCCATGTGCAGCAGGCATATTCATTGTTCTCAATGGCGTTGTTGCAGCGGGATCAAGGTTGCAGCAGTCATAGCGGTGCGGCTCGCATTTCTAGGGCCCCCTGGTACGCACAGCCATTCTGATAAGCCGAAGTTTATGAACAGCTGCGACCGTAAGCCGGATAAGACAGAACCGCTTTAAAAAGCGGCGAATTCATCTGGCTGGGCATGCAGCTGCAGTACCTACAGCTCCAAACATGACGAACGTGCCAACTCGAAGGTGGCATCCAATGGCAGTGGTATGGCAAAGTTGGAATCGATTAGGATCTGTCCTATGACCCTGGGGTCTGTTGGATTTGACACCAATTGTCTGCGGAGACGACGAATTATCTGTGGCGTTTTGAGACAAACGCTACCTGTCTCCCGGTTCTTTTCAAGCAATGACGTAGTGCTCACCCCAAATGATGTGAGTCCAGGCAGCAGCTGACCACTCTTAACGCAATCTCTCAACACTTATGGTGCGGTTTTCCGTCGGGGGAGGGGGATGGTGGAGAATATGGAAGCAGCTCTCCATTTGCCCCTCTCCCCTTGTTTCGCTTTTCACTGCCCGTGCCTGATCTCTTAGCTATCGTTTGATGCCCTGTCGAGCGGTCCTTTTTACAGCGTAGCTCATCACTGGCCGCGTAGCTCAGCTGGGCCGCGCCGCACCGCGCCGTGCCTCGGCGCTCTCCCTGCACCCAGCCTCTCTACTGGAGCTCTGTACAGCCATCTGAAAGATGAGCGCATGAACGCCTGTCGGCGTCGATGACGTACTCCTCTCTGCAAGTGTAAAAAAGTTCCCCCTGTGGTTGCTCAGTCCCATTTCCCCTAGCCGGCGGGATGGCCTAGAACTCCCTCATGGGTCGTGCTCCTCATCTTCATGAACGCTCTGCGGCTGGTTTCCTCCTCCCACTTCATTTCGTTTACTATCCTTCGCAGATGACCCCCCCAACTCCTTGACTCCGCCATTCCGGTCATGTTTGGCTCGCCAACTTGAGGGGGTCTTGTCGAAAATCCATTCATTCTTTTCAAAACTGGTTCCAGTCAAACAACTTCAAATGAACCACATAAAGATGACTGGCCGGCAATGGTCAGATACTGATCGTCACCAAACCATCCGTAGCAAAATCTATTTTTTGTCCTGTGTGTGCTCTAAAAAATGTGATTTGAGTTTTTTCTTCCTTTACGTCTAGGTGTAAGCAGCAACTACGTGAATGCGCCTTCAGTAACATGAAATGTAACTGTAACGTTTGGTCACGCCACACATGGATGCATGCTAAAAATTGGAATGAAGGGGGGGTGGGCAACGCACCTCTGGGTTCTTCTACACGCCCGACAGCTGTATATATGACAAAGAGGGCAGTCATAGCCTTAAATTTTCACAGCACCCATGTGCGAGCGCCAGGGGTACTCCTGCGTGCTGACCTCTCGGCGCGGGGATAGATGAGTGGCTTGCGCAGGCGGGGAAGGTCTGTTTTCAAAGGCAAAGGGTTACCATAATCGCGCACGTGGTGAAACAAGATGAGCGATATTCAGGCCGTGGAATGAAACACTCACTTGATTGCACTCTTTGGTACATGATGGTTTTTATATCACATGACCGTGGCGCAATAGCGCAGTTAGAGTCCCTGTGCACTTCTGCTTGTTGGCACGCATATGAGATTCCTAAAACAGGACTTCATTAAAGATTGATCTCGGATTCCTCACCTCCTTATTTGAGGTGATAACTCGATAGGCAACGAGATCATAGATAGAAAAGGCCTCTGATACGGCCACCCTTTCCAGTTATTACCTTCGCCTTCGATGAGCTCTCCATTTCGTTAACAAACCACTCGCGCACTTGTTCAACGATTTAATCCGTGGCCTGCAAGTTTTTCTAGATTACATGGGTCAGCTGTCACAAATGCCTGACAGTCATCCGCCAACTACATAATGCAGTGCGCCACCGACATGATGGTTGCGTTCGTTTTGGAAGATTGCCAAAACAAAATGCAACGGATGCACGGCCCCTGATGTACACTGCAGGTACCGCGACAAACGGAGCTCCTCATCGTTTTGGCCGTTTACATCCGTGACAATGACCCTGAATGTAGATAACTGTTAGTCACGGGTGTAATACGCTGTTGAATCCCACTGCTTCCAGTAGCAAAACAGACAAGCGCTATGTGACATGTCAACGATTCCGTATCAGTTAAATAATTTCAACCATACGTTCTGACTGGAAATTCTGTGCGCATGCCATACCAAACGCGTCGTGACCTGCTACCTTCACTTCTACCTTTGACAATACGAGAATGAGCACAATTGATGTGGAGTTTGCTCATGTGGCCGGATGTAAATGCCCGCTCAAATTGGATAATTTTCAGGTATATGGCACTGCCCCAGCAGTAAACGGTTGTTGACAATGTACCGTGATATCGCCATAAGAACTGGTTGGGGGATCTCAACATCATGAAGCCTTATGCCCTTGGCACCACAGATAACACAATAGCTCATTGATACTATAAGCAGGAGTGTTACATTCTAAACTTGGTTATAGGGCGGCTCACCTGACAAGGTTGACTTCATCTACCTTAGAACCTTATTTATCCACGGATGTCGACCAACTTGTGTTTTCGCCCTAGATGTTAAAATTACAATCCAAACTCTTCATTTTTCGTCACTTCAGGTTTTTTTTCCCCGGAGGAGTGGCTTCCCATTTCAAGTCTACGTGGGCTATCTTTTTGTGAAGGCTCTTAATCAGGTATAATCACGGACAAATATATTAGAACTTTGAGTAAGGAATACCTGATGACTACTCCTGTCACTTGTCCTGTTGCACATACACCAAAGCCATGATTATGTTGACAACTATTTTGCCATTGCTGGTGAAAAATGTGTTAAGATGTATCTGGGTCATCGTGTTCTTTTAAAAGCTGCCAAATGTTGCTTCTGTATGCTAATCCAGGCGATATCTTTTAAAACGTGTGGTACTGTTAGCACACTGACTTAAGGCATAAAGGATTTAGCATGGCAAAATCATTTGGCACCTAAAGGATGTGATTTGGTACAAATGGACATACTTTGAATGATGATATGTTTATGTGCATACTGCCTGCCTTAGCAATGGTTGAAAAAAATGTGCTGTCTTTATCTCGCCCAGTATTCCCTATTTCCTGACATGCCTTAAGGGGTCAAAGGCAGAATGGAGGGGGAGGGGATCGGTGGGGCTCAAGTGATCATTGGGGGCGACGCAAACCACTCCAAAGTATACAAAGGAATGCCCTAGGCTATAGGGCATTCTCATTCATGTTCGGTAGTAAGTCCTGGCTAAAGAGCCTGCGAGCAGTCGTGTATCACGTCACACGGTGGTCTCACGTACCCGCAGTAATCGCGTACCCGCAGTAATTGATTGTTTTTAGATGGATTTTAGCGATATAGACTAGATTAGGTTATGTTGGCATTAGGTCAGATCATATTGACCCAAGCAGCGCTTGTATGAGCCACAAGCCTATTCCATCTGATCACCCAATTTCAGGCCAACGGAACAATGCCCAGCACGATCCGTTTTCCCCTCTGACGTCACCGGACTTTGAGCACGGTCGCTGTCGTCGGGCCGCCGGCCATATCAGTCACAGGCAAATAGCGAGAGTCTTAAACCGGCTCGATCGTGCAGGGCCCATTTTAGGAGGAAGTAACTGGGGACTTGGGCCAGTCGATTGCCATGGGGCATGAAAGCAAATCTGTGCAATATCACCGACATTGTTGTGCCGACAGCTGTACATATCACAAAAGAGGGCAGTTATAGCCTGGCATTTTCACAGCCACCATGTGCGAGTGCGAGGGGTACTCATGCGTGCTGACCTTTCGGCGCGGGGATTGAGTGGCTTGCGCAGGCGGGAAGGTCTGTTCTCAAAGGCAAAGGGTTACCATAATCGCGCACGTGGTGAAACAAGATGAGCGATATTCAAGCCGTGGAATGAAACGCTCACTTGATTGCACTCTTTGGTACATGATGGTTTTTATATCACATGACGGTGACGCAATAGCGCAGTTAGAGT